ATCTCCAAAAAAGTTTTTTTGAACCCACCAGTTGATAGATCGTTCAATTCTACACAAAACAAGACGTGTCTGAAGCTAGTGTTTTCTGAGGCTCTTTTGGACCTGTTCCTCAATATGGACATGACATATTTTTATTGATCCGTATAGAACTTGGCGTCCTCTTTCATGTGAGACCAAATTCATATTTTTTGGATAGGGACTGCGGGTTTTATGAGCTTTGCAAAAGATGCTATTTCTACTTCGAAGCATTCTTTTGACACGTTCTACGCTTTATGAAGGCTTAGTTTCGCCCGAACTGCATTTTTTGTCCCGTTTTCATTTATTTTTTCAAATTTATTTTGACTATAGAAATAAGTTATTACAAGAGTAAGTATAAAGTCTGATAGCGCTTGAAATTCTCTATTATTCTGTACTTTGCCGGCCTTGACTTGCAATTATTTGCTGACAAATATTTCGAACATTGTTAATGTACCCACGTATCACATTCCCATGTAGCAAGGGTAATAACTGAGGAGGTCCATTGAATACCTGGTTTATTTCGAAAAGAGATCTCAAAAGTGAGTTAAAAGGATGAAACTTCATATCGAATATCACAACAACCACCTCGAATATATAGTGTAGAGAGATAAATAGAACATCGTTTCCATGAATAGATACATCGAAGTGCAGGAACTTTTTTACTATCCTATGTATATCTACCGTAGAATCATTCACAAGTCAGCAGATATATCTCATCTTTGTGATATTTATTCTCCTAATTAACTATTCACTTAATTGAACAACAAATGTATCTCCCGGAGAATTACTCACAAGTCAATAGATATATCTCATCTCTGTGCGATTTATTCTCCTAATTAGCAATGGACTCTTATTGAGAACAAATATATCTGCAGCAGAAGACGTGTCACTAAAGTGTAGATATATTCTTACAAATAGATATATCTACAAAAAATATATCTCCGGCACTGCTGGAATAACGAGATTACTTTGGATGTTCTCGCTTTTGATTCACCATGTTACGCAAAAATCGAAGCACACTAAGCAGATTAGGCGGTGGTTCATTCATGTAGCTGTTATTAAATAATTGACGCAACTGGGGGTGAGCGGGACCAGAGTCGACAAGTTGTTTGTCTGAGGCGTTCATCAGCCATTCTTTTGGCAAGAAGAGTAGAGCAAAGCAGTGATTGAAAACAAGATTTTTTTGCGAGTCTAACAACAAGAAAAGATTGATGCCTGATGTCGCTTGACAGATATCCTTTTGAAATTTTATAGCTGACGTGGACCAAATTCTAACAGGACCGGGACCAAAGAAGTTCAGTTTTCTCATCTCTAGACGCAACACGTAGACGAAACAAATCGAAAAAATAGCCATTTGCTGTTTATAGCATAGCATTTGGTGCACCATTTATTGGTAATAGTACTGTTGCTAAAGATTTAATTAAAAGAAATTTGAATAATTATTTTTTAACAATAATAAATCAAAATGATATTGTACCAAATTTATTAAATCTTGTTGAAACTGGTTCACGTATTCAATCAACAGTAGCACCCATAACGGAATCATGCTTAGAAGTTACTAAAACGCTTCTATCATTCATTTCTTTAGCAACTAATGTATCACGAGAAGTGATCAATAAATCGATTGGGGCTTTAAATTTATGGGTACCAAAATTGAAAAACCTTTTATCAAATAAAATTATGGACTACAAACCAATAGGATAGTATGGATTTATGCGTTCAGTACTGAACTCGAATGGATCAAATAATCCAGAACCTTATGAATGGATTATTACTTACAAAAGGAATACATTTAAACATAAAATTGGTTATGAGAAAAATGAAGAAGAATTTATTGATCTTATATCAAGACAACTAAACGAATCATTTGGTTCATCGACAGCAACGATTACCGACTCAAATATTATTGATCATTATATAGAAAACTACATTTCATCATTAATATCATGTAAAATTATTCATTGTCAATCTTCAACATCTACAATAAAAGATCAACGACACATAACTGAATTTACACGTTTTAATCCACATATAAGCAAAGCAACAGCTATTTGTTCTCATACAGATATTAAAATAACAATCGTAGGTAATAATTTAGATTTTTTCTCATCACATAAAAAAATGTGTATAATCACATCTGAAAATTTATTTCAACCTAATTCTGTTATAACAGCATCGGAAATTTCCCGGAATAAGCTAGTTTTAATGAATAATAGTCTACTACCAGTTGAAAAACGTGTGACAATTGGTTCACGAAAATATACATTAGATACACATTTTGGTGAAATTAATTTAATATTAGAACTTTATGATGATGATACTAATAATGGTGATAATCAACAACAACAAACAACATCAACATTTCACATATTTAATGCGAATTTTTTAATGGCTACATTTCTACGATCGTTTTTTGAATGTCTACATGCAAACTATGATTTATCTTTATCAAATAAAAATAGTAGTTTACATTATTTTGCAAAATTAGTTGCAAATAGACTACCAGGTAAATCTGAACAATTTAAATCTTTACTTCAAAAACATTTGGATCATTGTCAACAAATGAAAAAAATGAATAAACCAATATCGATTAATGAAAAGTTATATAATGATATGTCTGGATTAATAAATGATTTATATAAAGCCTTAACAGATTGATCAAAGTATACTTATCATAAATCGCTATTACAAAGAGTAAAAGAAAATCCAGGACGATTTCTTCTTTATGGAACTGGTGCGTTAGTCGGTATATGTGTTTTATTTCACGCTGGGCTGATTAGTTTAATTGGTTATCCATTATTTGCTGATACCTTAGTCAGTGGTATTTTAACACAATTTGGTGTTGTAGAACTTAGTCTTACTTACGTAGGAACAATAACTCTCTATAGTTGTTTAGCTAATGTTGGTTGTAATTCATTGAATAGATTCCTTTATCATGAACATTTAGCGTTTTTACTGAATAGCATGGGAAGTGATTCAGATGAATGTGCTAATGAAAAAATGTTAGAAACACAATTATGCGATATATTGGAAAAGAAATCGATTGATTTTGATGCTACTGATATGAGAGACCGTAAAATAATCAAAAAAATAATCAAAGACAAACATTTATTCCACACGAAGGAAATAACACATTCGAAACGACTAACTTTAGATGGTACCACAATAGACTCACAAATGAACGCATTTGGATTTTTACATGATATTTATTATATTTGTAAATTACGCCGGTCGATGACAGGACAATATATATCATTTATTGGTGCACATCGTGCTGGTAAATCAAGTTTATTAAAATCATTATGGAATATACCAGCACAACGTGGTGATTACTTTGATAATCGTACACAACAAATACAAATGTATACATTATATGATGATAATAGTAGCAATAAAGTTCATTTACTTGATTTTCCCGGTTTGACAGACCCTGTACAAACCATAGCACATTTGAATCAAAATTATTGTGTATTTAGTACATTTTATGTTATTGTTGTAAGAGCTGGCACCGATTATAATTCAGCTGCAGAATTAATTAAGGAGCTACAAACATCACCAACAATCACATCCCCTTCAGAGACGAAGCAACTACTATCAAACGCAACTACCACCACTCAATCGAAACTCGTAGATGAACACGTTTCAATAGATCAACAGAGTATGTTTGATAAGGATTTGTTGTAAGAATTACACCATTAAGATGCAATGAAGTAAAGGGAAAGTACTGATTAGACCCAATGCGAGATTTTGAGCTCGAAAATAGGAGGAGCAGAATCTTTAGATTACAGACATATCCGATTTTACGATAATTTTGGAAAAACGGAGATAGTTTAGCTTAAGTAAGTTGAATCTGCTCTACAATTTCCTCAGAACTGAATACACCTCACGTAAACTAAGGTTACTTCTAGGAATGGAAAATCCTTATATGGTTCGGGAATCGGATTGGATTTGTAAATTTTCGAGAGGAAAAAATGATTTGATTAAGATCGTTGACTGACTTGAACCAAAATCAGCTATAACTAGGACACAGTTTTTCTCATGGTACAAAACAAAAATATTTCAGTTGTATTTTAGATAGAGGACAACAGCAATATGGTTTGAATAAATCAGCAAAATTTGTTGTTATTATTACTGGTATTGATACAATACCCGATTCATTAATTGAAAATGAATTAAATGAAGCTATAAATAGACGATTAAATATAAACAAAGAATTAATTTGTTTGTGTTATAATAAAGAAGCTATTGATGATGAAAACTTTTTACGTTCACATGAATCAAGAAATCTACCTGGTATATTCGAAGTACGAACATTCTTAAATAAACATTTCAATCAAATACTTGATAAACATTCTGATTTTAATACATATAAATATAGCATATAAATATAGCAATAACAGTTTTTATATAGAACAATACCTCACAAGAGAAATTTTCTACTGTTCGGATTCTTTGTACTGTTTTGCATAGAATCAGTCATGTTTTTAAGGCAGAGATCACAAGTGGGGACCCTTGCACAAAGGTTGTTCCTTCAGTGGCGAAAATAGAAGTTGAGAGAAAATAAGTTTTTTGACTACAAAATGCAGTTTCATGGAATTTCGTAAAAATGAGAGATAGTATTTTTCCTATGTAATTCGACGAGCTCTATCGAACTGGGCATAAATAAAAAGAGTAAAAAATTTGCTATGTCTTTGAATTTCCGCACCTTATATTGCAACGAAATGGGGGAATTCTTTCTGAAAATCGATTTTCGAAAAACTTCGCCAGTTTGAGTTATAATTTATTCTGCTAGAAAAACTGGAGAGGGATACCTCCAAATTTGTTAACTTTTTCTGGGAAGTTGCCAGAATATACACTAATTTCATAGTGAGTGCAATCTTCCTTTTGGATAAAACGATAAAATTTGTTCTTTTCTCCATTTCTTGCTTTATATCTCTCTCTATAGTGTGCATAGAAGGAAAAAAACATCAAAGCAAAGAAAAATAACATAAAAGAGAACAGTAGAAAAGCGGAATCTTTGATGTCTACCGTTGAATATAGTGTAATATACCGTGAAAACCCACAGTAGCGGATCCGGGTCCAAAGAACGCGGATACCCCAACGAGATCTTTGCGCTGCCGAATGCGTAAAAATCTCGAGACTCGCTTCTCTAGAAAAAAACCATCAAATTTTGATATGACTAATCGAGTTGCGAAATGTATTCGAACGTATCACTTTCTCTATCTTAAATTCTTTCGAATAAATCTTTTTTCTGTGGCTTAACATTGTTTTCTTTTGTACCTGGTCTGAGAGAAACTGAAGTGTGTCAACATCATTAAAGCAGATTGTTTGTACACCAGAGACCGAATCGGGTCTTAGGTGGATGACCCGACCGCGACCCGACCCCAATCATTATTTTCTATGTGGACCCAAACCCGACTCGACCCGAAGGCTTTTTTACCCGACCCGACCCGAAGCGGTACGAAATTTTCGAAACTTTGACTCTCCTTTTCGAAATGACCCGAAAATTTTCTTAGGTGACCTAATAAATTTTTCTGGAAAAAGAGCAGAATCCTATAGAACGTTTCTCTGATTTTTTGTCCAATTTGATAGTTCATTCTAATTGTGATAACCCGAAACAGGAAACCTTTCTCGATCGTATATTGTCATGAAGCTTAATCATCATTTAAGGCGTTCGTTTTTCTGGATTTACTTATGTTTCCTTTTTTCTTTTCTTTCTTTGCTTCAACAGTGCGATACTGTACAATGTACAGTGTACATTACACAGCGTCAAAGCAGGAAGGAAGAAAAACTGTACTTCTTTTTCTGATAAAAAAGGTACATGTTGAAAAATAGATGAGTGAACCGTAACCGAAGAAAATTCCCTGATTTATTTTCAAGTGGCAAGACCCGAATAAAACCCGAAAATTTTTTCTTCCTTTTTAAAGCTAAAGTAATTTTGACCATACTTAACGATACAAAATACAAAAACTTTCAAGAAAATATAAGTTATTCTAATCAATTCAAACTCTTCTAAATTCAGTTTTATTGGAAGATATATAAAATGAGCTGTTCCAGACTAAAAATACCTAATTCTGGATTTATTATCCAGAAACTATCAATGTGAAAAAGTTATATGTGATACTTGAGGCTTGTTCTAGTGAAATTTTCCGATCATAAACGAAGCATAGTTATCTCTACAAAATAACAAAATATTATTTTAAAATCGGTACTTCGACCGTCTCGTCTCTTCTTAAGGCTTGGCAAAAGATTCGTTTTGATTCATTAGAATATCTCAGGTAGCTTTGTACAGCAGATACTACTCTATTGTTAGAAATCTGATTTTCCCTAAAAGGAGTCTGGTCTCTGAAGAAATAAATAATAGAAAAGCAAAGACTACTATCAATACTTTATGGCTGTGGCTCACTGATAACGGAACATGGATATATGAACAAAAAAATGGGAGTAACGTCTCCAAAAAAGTGATTTGAGATCATCTCAAATCACTCAAGTAGGACTGTAAAAGTTCTCATTACGTTGATTTAACGCTAACTATTCAAACGCTATTCTTTTCGTTATCGTCAAAGTAACGATAACTGAAAAGACAGAACAACAGCATTTCTCGATTATTCCAGAGGCAGTCAAGCTACTTCAAAACAGTTTTTAAATAAAAAATTTCGTTACACAAAAATTTCGACAAAATGAAACTGATTTTTTTTCAGCATTATTTCTTCTCGTATTGCTCTTTTAGTACGTCTATAGCATTTTTCTATTCTTTTATGAGGTACGACGATCATTTCCTTACTTGTGGCTGTGGTTAGTAGACTAGCTGTAACTTTAATATCAATGTGTAACTGGGAATGTACGATTGTTTGACCTGGGCAGCGTTAAACCAACGGTA